GAGCCTTGGGCTACTCTTTTGTGGATAAATGTATTTTAACTCCCTTTGCTATTTTAACTGTTTTCTACTTGCCTTTTTTGGCCTACTCAATGTAGGGATACAGATTATTTCTGTTTCTAACACCATCATTCTAATCTTCCTTACTTGAAAAATTGCTATGAAATTATATTTCTAATGCCATATTTCCATTATTCCTCTCTGCTTGGGCCTATTTCCAGTGTTATAGCTCATCCATTGTTTCAGTAACATGTCTATTTTCATTGTTAGAAACTTCAACAGCCTAATGTATTACCCTGTGTTGTGAACTCTCAGATCTTTGTCATACTTTCATCTATGCTCCATATTCATACATACTAGCCTGGTCACACTCATCTGTTCCACATATACATTTCAAACTTGCTAATTCTCTTCTAGGAAAATCCATGCCTTCATTTTGCATCCACAGATAGTTTGTCATGTCTGCATATTTGCTCTTTTTCAACTCTCCTCTTGTAGACTCCCCTTTTGCTCAAGGTAGCATTGCCATGTGGGGGCAGAACCAGAAATTGAACTCAGGCCTTCACATTCCTTAATTTTTTTCAGAATGGATTATTCAAATAATGTATTAGAGGTTTTGGTTTCTGCTAGAGGGAGGATTAATTTATTCATAGAAAAGATGTAATAATTATATCTTCTGAGAAAACCAGAATTAAAGAACTTCTGCTTAAATCTTGCCAGAGATTTAAAATAGTAATCAAGTTATTATCCTGTGTCAAAGATTAAAAAAATATTTTTAAGTGTATTTCTTTTATGGATGCTTCTAGTTGTCTATCTTCTGTTAACCAAATCCTACTCCCTTTCGTCTGGAGAAACTTTGTTTCTCTAGGCTCACTTCTTCCAGAGCACTAAGTACTTCATCTGATAAACTAATATGTGCTTTAACATACTACTGCTACAAGCTTAGGAAACCTCCCTAAACTGTGCTTTTATGCCTTCAGAAAGTCCAGTGTTTTTAAATTATAAAGGTAAGAGATAGAAGCTATCCGAAAGTAAGTCTCAGATAGCCTTTTAAAACATACCCATTCTGCATTTGCCTGTTAGTGTCAATCTGTGGGGTAAACCAGGAAGAGTATTCCTACAAACGTGATTAATAACTTACTCAGCTGTTGCCTCAGCTTCGAGCAAACTGGGATCCTTCCTACAGAGAGCAATGATGATGCAGATATTGTCATAGAAAGCAGCAAAATGGATCGGCATCCAGCCTCTTTTTTCAGAGAGCAAGTAATCTGCTTTGAAACAGAGTAGACAGATGGTTGCTTCCAGTGAGCAGGCCTGTGCAGCCAAGTGTAGGGGGGTTGGACCTAGAACAGGTGGGCAAATTCTTCAGTGGTCAAAGGTCACACCCTTAAAAGGCATGGCACATTTGAAAAATATGACAATCACAAGATTAAAACAGGTTTTTATATTAAATACTTTTTTTTTTTTTAACAAATAACACTCCACCAGTTTTACCCTTGAACATTAATTAACACCAAAACTGAAATGACTGACTTGGAACATTTTTAATGAAGTGTGCAAGGACATCACTTCCACTTTGGCTGTTCACATTGCCTACAAACCAAATTATGAATTGACCTGCTGTGTGGAATCCCATTATAACAGAACGTGGCATTATATGATATTAATGACCCAAAATTAACCCTCAGAGGAGGAAACTAAGAAATCCAATCTTTCTTATTGACTTGGGAAGTCTGATTATTGATATCAATAATTCTCTATCATGTTAGAAGACTAACATGCATGTGTTACTTAAAAATGTAAGTAATTATATAAAAAGCAGGCTGTGGTAAAATAAAAGAAACTGTCTCTTTTTCAAATGAATTTCCCTTTTATAGGAGATGGTTTTCAACAGTGAAAAGTAATAGCTCATAAAAAGCCCCTGTATCACTAAATCTAATATTTTTTTCAGTTTTCATCTCACTATTCAACACTACTTGCTATCATTGAATATTTTCTAATTTTTAGAAATAGACTCTTTCCTTGTTTGTTTCTGTGTGTATGTGATATTGTACTTTCTTGTTTTATATCTACCTCTTTTACTACTCCTTTCAAGTCTCCTTTGGGAACTTCACATTGTCCTAATGTCTAAATAAAACTTGGGTTCTACCTGGGACCTTTTAAACTTTTCTTATTCTTATTCTTTTTTTTAATTGTTTTATTATGGGGTCATACAACTCTTATCACAATCCATACATACATCAATTGTGTAAAGCACATTTGTACATTCATTGCCCTCATCATTCTCAAAACATTTGCTCTCCACTTAAGCCCCTGGCATCAGCTCATTTTTACCCTCCCTCATGAACCCTTGATAATTTATAAATTATTATTTTGTCATATCTTGCCCTGTCCGATGTCTCCCTTCACCCACTTTTCTGTTGTCCGTCCCCCAGGGAGGAGGTCACATGTAGATCCTTGTAATTGATTCCCCCTTTCCAGCCCATCCTCCCTCTACGCTCCCAGTATCGCCACTCACACCACTGGTCCTGAAGGGATCATCCGCCCTGGATTCCCTGTGTTTCCATTTCCTATCTGTACCAGTGTACAGCCAGATTTGTAAGGTAGAATTGGGATCATGATAGTGGGGGAGGAGGAAGCATTTAGGAACTAGAGGAACGTTGTATGTTTCTTCGTTGCTACATCGCATCCTGACTGGCACTTCTACTCCCCGAGACCCTTCTGTAAGGAGATGTCCAGTGGCCTACAAATGGGCTTTGGGTCTCCACTCCACAGTAACCCCCCTCATTCACTATGATAAGATTTTTTGTTCTGATGATGCCTGATACCTGATCCCTTCAACACCTTGTGATCACACAGGCTGGTGTGCTTCTTCCATGTGGGTGGGCTTTGTTGCTTCTGAGCTAGATGGCTGCTAGTTTACCTTCAAGCCTTTAAGACCCCAGATGCTATATCTTTTGATAGCCAGGCTTTCTTCACCACATTTGCTTATTCACCCACTTTGTCTTCAGCGGTTGTGTTGGGAAAGTGAGCATCATAAAATGCCAATTTAATAGAAGAAAGTATTCTTGCATTGAGGGAGTACTTGAGTGGAGGCCCAATGTCCTTCTGCTATCTTAATACTAAACCTATAAATATATGCACATAGATCTATTTCCCCATCCTCATATATTTATATTTGCATTTGTACATGCCTTTATTTAGACCTCTATAAATGCCTTTTGCCTCCTAGCTCTTTCTTCTATTTCCTTTGACTTTCCTCCTGTCCCACTATCATGCTCAGCCTTCATTTGGGTTTCAGTTATTCCTCTTGGTTACATTCCCTTGATCACGCCCTACCAGACCTCCTACACCCTCCTCACTACCGATTTGGATCACTTGTTGTTCCCTTGTCCCTGGGTTTGTTAACATGACTACATTTCCCCCCACCTCGTCCTCTCCCATGTCCCCCCGGAACTGTCGGTCCCATTGTTTTCTCCTCCAGATTGTACATCCAGCCTATCTTATTTAGACAGACCTGCAGAGATAATAACATGCACAAAAACAAGACAGAGCAAAACCAAGCAACAATATACAACAAAGCAACAACAACAGACCAATAACAACAAAACAAAAGAAAACACAACAAGAAAGAAAAGCATGTAGTTCAAGGACTGTTTATTGGCCTTTAGGAGTGTTTTCTAGTCCAGTCTGTTGGGGCACCACCCCCTGGCCCCAAAGTCCACCTTCAGCATTCCCTGGGGACCTCGCTGTTTCATTCCCTTGCTGTTCTGTTGCACCCCCTTAGTGTTTCACTTAGGTGTGGAGGGATCAGATCAGGTACAATTCCCACACTGTGTCTCCTGTGTTGTTGCCTGTAGGGCTATGGGTCAGTGAGGGACATCATGTCTCATAGCGGGGCCGGCTATGTGGTCCTCTCTGTGGACTGGCTGCTCTAATTGGGAACATTGTCCTCAAGGCCTGGTGGGCCAGGATGTGCTCCACTCTCTTCTCCTCCCCCTTCATCTGCTCCCATGTGCTCTGATCAGATATGCCCCTTTCCCCGAGCTGCAGATTCAATGCCATCCTTTGAAATAAATTCTTCTGGGGGAGGGGCAGGTGTCTACGTAGTAGTTGGGATTGGGGCCGGCCCCTCAGACCTCTCCACTGGTTCCCTACCTTGTTCTTATTCTTATTATTGACTTTATTTACCACTTCTAAATTGTTGATTCCTAAGATTATATCAATAGACTTGATTTCGTCTCTGAATTCTTGATCTATATCTTTACATCTTCAAATTTAAAATAAAACTTTTAAATGAAAAGGCAAAGAACACCCCCCCACACACAGCTTAAGATGAATATCAATAAATAACCATGAGTAGAAAAATTTCACACTTCAAAATATATACAAAGTATCACTACTGTGATCCCGATCACTTTTTAGATTACATACCATAAACTATGTCTTAACATATTTGGTAGTCTATTTAAATGTATGAAATATTTTACTTATAGCTTACCATTTCTTTCTTTTTTCACATCCATTTTAGATGACTCTGTTTTTTAAAAGGGATACACATAGAATTATGATTAACATATAATAATTTTCTAAATTATTCATAATAAACACAAATAAGTACAAAATGATTCTGTTTTGATATAGATGATAGGCTTACATCAAGTAGTAGTGATTGTAACTTTTGGTTAACCCATCTAGGCATGACAATCACAGTCGGCCTTCTCAACTACTAGTCAGAACTCACAGACAGAACTATTTCATGTTGGCTTAGTAATAATACATACACATTTCCAATAGAGTTATTGATATGGATAGGGATTGCATTGAACCTGTTGATCAATTTGGTGCCATCTTAACAATATTGGCTTCTCATTAGTGAAGGTCTTCTCTATTTTCTTTCCACAATTCTTTGTAGTTTTCAGTGTACAACTTTTGGTATTTAAAATTATTCATTACTAGTGTGTGAAAATACAATTGTTTATATATTGATATGCACTACAATATGGTTGAACCATGAAAACATTAGGCTAAGTGAAAGAAGCCAGATTCCAAAGGACAAACACATAGTCCCACTTCTGTGAAATATCCAGGTTAAACCAATCCAAAGCAGCACATCGTGGATTGGTTGCCAGGATTTGTGGGGAGGAATGAATGGGGAGTGACTGCTGATAAGTAAGTGGTTTTTGGGGGGAAGATGAAAATATTCTGGAATTATACAGTCATGATGGTTGCTCAACCTTGTGCATATTTTTAAAATCATTTTATTAGGGGCTCATACGACTCTTATCACAATCCATACATACATCAATTGTGTAAAGCACATTTGTACATTCATTGCCCTGGTCATTCTCAAAACATTTGCTCTCCACTTAAGTGCCCAGCATTAGGTCCTCATTTTTTCCCCTCCCTGCCCCCTCCCCACTCCCTCATGAGCCCTTGATAATTTCTAAATTATTATTTTGTCATATCTTGCCCTGTCCGATGTCTCCCTTCACCCACTTTTCTGTTGTCCGTCCCCCAGGGAGGAGGTCACATATAGATCCTTGTAATCAGTTCCCTCTTTCCAACCTAATCGGTCCCTCTTTCCAACCTCTTGTGCATATTTTTAAAAATCATTTTACACTGTACACTTTAAAAGGGAGAGTTTTTCATATGTGAATTTTATCACTGAATCTATTATTTTAAAAACTCCTATTTCAGATTCCCATTCTTCCTCCCCTCTTACTCCTTCTGTCCAGCCAATCCTGTCAAGAATGCCACCTGACAAGCCAACGCTTTATTCCCAGGGATTGCCAGAAGCTGGGGAAGAGTGGAGACACCTTTGCTAACAAAAAGAGCATGCTATAAAATACATTTCCTGAATGGACTCGACACATGTGCACTGCCACAGACCTCAAAATCCGAACACTTCCACTCACTAGACAACCAATAACAAAGTGTAACCTTGTTCTAACGTCAATATACGTTCTTAATGCTGAATTAAAAGATAATATGAAACAGTTTTAGGTTTTAAACCCTGGCTAGTACCTTGGCTGAACATAATAAAGCGTCTCTGGTTGACATTAAAATTAGCATTGCACAGTTGGCATATGATAGCCACTCTGTTGTGGAGAGCAGCATGATGGAAAATAGCATAACCTCCTTCATCTGAAACATTGATCGTGGAACTTGAGGTTTTACGGCTAAATGTGTGGAACACAGCACATAGTCCCCTTTCCACAGCAGACTTCATACCAAATGGGATACTCTAAAATTAATTTAAAAGTCAGAATTAGGTTCTTGAAAAAAAATACACCTGAATTTTGGCATAATGAAAAATAAAGGCATGCACTAATTGAAACTCAATTACCAAAGAATTTCACAAAATCCACATGTAGATGTCTCACTTGGTAATTATTAAAGTTGTTAGATCTATACAAAAAATATCAAGAACTTTAAAATATATTTTTGAAAGGTTTTTCTTTTCCTTCCTCTTTCTTTTCTTTCTGTGCGTGTGTGTGTGCGCGCGCGTTTTAGAAGAAATAAGGGAGCATTCTTTGGAGACGTTTTACAATAGGATATTGGGTTAAAAACATGTATCTCTGAAATGCTTTCCAGTAAGAGATCATTGATTCCCAGTCTAGAGATGTGAAACATCTAACTATTGAAATATAGTGAGTCTTCTGCTCTAGGTCTCAAAATGGTGAGGTGTATCATCAGTTTGATATACTTCATATTTTAAAATTATACTAACAGGTTTTAACGTTTTTAACTTATGAAGCTATTAAAACAAATAAATGGTAAATATACCCCAGAAAAATATTTGAAATTGCCAATGGCCCATTCATTTCTCAGTTCCAGAGACACTAAGTCAAAGCTTTGACGTACACACAGCGATCGATTCAGGTGTTAGGTTTGCTCTCAGGGTGAAGTGCCTGAACTGCAATCTGGTTTTGCCTTTTACCAGCTGTGTGATCTGGGTCAGATCTTTGACTCTGTGCCAAACTAATTTCTCATTGTAAATAGGAATAGTGATAACATTACAAGTACTGTACTTTATCTTATGAGCTATTGAATGGCTTTGTAATAGTATCTGGCATACAATATAAGAAATTAATATCAGCCATTATTAGAATGAAAATAGTCTAGTTCATTAAATGATTGTTTTATATCCCTCCAGAAATTTATAACTCAACATTTTATACTTTTGATTATATTAAAGGCTATTTACTTGTTTATTTTTGAAATGAAAACAGGTTGATTATATATACCTACTCTTATCACATTAATTCCAACTCATAGTGACTCAGTTTCCCCAACTGTAAATTTTTACAGGAGCAGATAGCTCATTATACACCTGAGCACTAGCTGGTGGGTTTTCAGTGCCAACATTAGGTTCACAATCTACCTGGATGCATATATATATTCCTGTTGGCATAGTAGGTTATGCATTGGGCTGCTAATCACAAAGTCAGTGGTTCACACCCACCAGCCACTCCACAGGAGAAAGACGAGGCTGTCTGCTCCCTTTAAGATTTATAGTATGGGGAATTCTGCCCTATCGGGTCACTGTGAGTCAAAATCAACTTGATGGCAGTGAGTTTTGCTTTGGGTATATATATATATATACACACACACACACACACACACACACACACACATATACATACATATATATATATTTATACACATATATATACATATATATATTCCTAAAATTCATGGGATAATTCCACTTTCTCTCAATTCAATTTTTCTATGAATTTAAAGAAAAAGCATTTTATTGTGAATGGGTAGTTTACATGGCAGATAATTCTTCCATTCAACAATTTATATTTTGTTTCACATCATTGATTGCCGTCCTCACCATGTAACATTGCTTATCCATTTCTTCTTTTCTCCTTCCATTCCTTTCTTTCCCAACCCTTCTGAACTTTTTCCACTAGTAAATGGTGCCCTTTTAATATCAAGCGGTGATTATTCTAAAGTGTGCCTATCTCCCTAATGTCATTGCTCCCCTGATTGACCTGTCTGTTGTTGTTTAAAACTTGGGCCCTAGGGTGAGTTCAGGTCCAGACCTGAAAGGTGCCTAAGGAGCATAGTCTTGAAGATTCTACCTGCCTCTGTCTTAATTATCAGCCTGGTTTTTCATATGATTTTGAATTTTGTTCTAAAAACTTCTCTCCTTTTATGCAGGGTCTTCTAAGGAGATCTCTTTCAGAAAAGTTAGTAGCGGTAGTTGGACACCATCTCGTTCTGGTCTCAGAATTATGTAGAGTGGTGTTTACATGGTCCAGTAGTCTGGTGGTGTTTACATGGTCCAGTAGTCTATTGGACTAATTGTTCTATGTGTATTCACTTTTCATTGTTCTTCTTTCCTCTGGAAAGGGAGAAACCATTAGGTGCATCTTACATGACTGCTCTTGAACCTTTAAGACCAACATCACTATTCACCAATGTATGATGTACTGTATAACATTGTCTTCAGGGACTATGTTATGCCAATTGACCTTGGTGTTCAATGAGACCATGGTCCTGAGTACACAGGCCCATTGACTCATTCCCTCTCAAGGTGTTTGGTTATGTTTGATAAGCTTTCATAACTTTTCCCCCTGTATGCCCTGTCATAGATATATTTGGGGTAAAGATACATACACATGTACAAATGTACAAATATCCTCTGTCAAACAAATATGTATTTGTAAGTATACTCCCCCTCTCCTTCTCAAATACATTTGGTATCCATATGTATCCATGCATCTACTTGTAGATCATCAATCTTGCAGGACTTTTCTATGAATTATGAAGTTCCCCCATTCACTCACACACATATATAACATTTTTTTCTTAAACTGAATTATATGGTAATTACTAAAATACCTTGCATTTCATAGCTTTTTTGAAACCAAATTTTTTCTTAAATTGGTCATGTAATTGAGCATCTGTCAATGGAAGTCTTTTTGGTCTCAGAATGTTCACTATTTCGTTTATGGCTCCCCACCACTGTGTCTTATATAGTTGCTGATAGAACACTTCAAGTTCAAAACAGATCACATAGTAGCTGTAGAGATTTTAAAAAGATTAAATTTTATAACTTTTAAGTGATTTATTACTTTTTTCCCCATTTTATCGAACATTTTTACAGGTGTTTGATCCTGGCAAAACTTTATGTTATATAACAGCTAAATACAAAAATGTAGTTTAAACTTGTATCTATAATATGTACTTTAATTACATGGTTGCTAATTATTACTTATCCAGCCTTTATATTATACTTATCACTATATTCGCTCTTTGAATTGGCTCTATTTTTTTTGGTGCCAGTGAGCAGAGGTCCTGCTTAAAGAAATCCCTGGATGCCCCAAATCTTCTTGAAAAAAATCTAGGTTTCCCCTCCAACCATTGACTTTCATATACTTACTTCATCCTCTTAGGAAATGACTTGAGTATTGACTCTTTTAATCTAGTCTATACTTTCTTTTTCAAGACTTTACCTTGTGTCTAGCCTAGAAAAGTCCATGGATACTGCTTTGGGTGAAGGTTCCTTGGGTCTTCCTCCCTGCAGCAGTAAGCCCACAAAGAAATACCCCACGCACCATGTCCACCCCAAGTCCCTGGACGTAAGTGGGGTTTGCCACAGCTCTATGCCCTTATCACTCTGAAATGAAACAGTGACAAAAATGTCAAATTGCTTCTTGATATCACTTCTCATCATGAGAGGAAAATGCTGACCTTTCCCACTACTGTCTATTAGAGTTTCTTTCTCCATTCCTGGATTTCAACAGGGAGCACTTAAGGGGCTGATGTTCCTTCTGCCAATGGGATATCTCGTAAGGTCACCTGGATTTAGTTATACTAGAACTGTTTATTACAACAAATACAACATTCTTGACAAGGAAAACGTTCTTCTTATGCCTTGTCATCTTCAGGGACTATCAAATCTCTGAAAGGTGCTGAGAAATTTGGTCCATTGTGTACATTTTTAGGGAAGTGGACCAAGGACCTTGTGCCAAAAGAACTCCCTGCCAGAAGTTCCACGGAAAATCACTCTGCCCAATAGGTTTGTGAAGGCAATACCTTTCTGAGTGCAGTAGACTGCAGTGCATGGATGGAGGCATGCTTAAAGATCTGTTCATCCTAGTGGGGGTCACTCGTCCTACCTAAATCCTTCTCACTTCAGAAGGGAAACTAAAGGCTGTCATCACCTCCACCTAGCCCCAGTGCAGTCCAACGGGGTCACGACTTGTGGGGATAGCACTTATCCCAACAGGGATTTGCCCTTTTCCCTTTGGGGGCCTTCGCTGAAGGAGCAGCAGCCAAAATGAAGTTCAATCCCTTTATGACTTCGGACCGGAGCAAAACCCGGAAAAGGCATTTCAATGCACCTTCCCACGTTCCCAGGATGATTATGTCTTCCCCTCTTTCCAAGGAACTGAGACAAAAATACAATGTTCATTTGTTCCACGCCCATCTGCGAGCATGATGAAGTTCATGTAGTGTGGGGACACTACAAAGGTCAGTGAATTGGTGAAGTGGTCCAGGTTTACGGGAAGAAATATGCCATCCACATTAAATAAAGCTAACAGCACATCTGTCCACATGGGCATTCACCCCAGCAATGTGGTTATCACTAGGCTAAAAGTGGACAAAGTCGCTAACAGATCCTTGAACAGAAAGCCAATCTAGCCCAGTAGGAAAGAAAAGGGCAAATATCAGGAAGAATCACCTGAGATGATGAAGAGTCAAATAGCCTTGTGCATACCTTCCATTAAAACTGGCAAATTTGAAAATAGGGATTTGCTTAGCCTACTGTCCTTCAATAGTAATTGAGGAACAGGTTTGACTGACTCCTAACTAAATAAATGGCTTTCTACGACCTTCAAATCACAGTGGTGATCGACTCTTCAGCCTTGTGCAGCTCTACCTAGTCCACACCCAACTGCACACACTGAAAGGACTTGGTACCCCAAGTATGTATCCCAGAGCTCACAAGCCTGCTTCCATGGGTGTAGGCATGGTAGAACACACTAATCCCGTCCTTTCCATCTCTGTATTATACTCCTTCAAGAGATTCCCAGTGCCGGCCACCCCTGCCTCTTCACGAACAACTTCGGGGCTTGGTTGTGGTAAATTACCGAGAACAGGAACTACTGGCCACCTTTGGGGCATGGAGGGAACATGATATTCTGTGATGACCATCTTCGATCATTTCTTTCATGCAGTGAAACATTTGTAAATACAACCAACAAGAGAGCTTTCTTGTAGAAACCCACTCTAGTCATCTAATACAAATCCAGTACCCATAACCCATCATTCTTACCCAGAAATCATGTTGGGAAGGTTTCTGAACCTGGAGAGTCTGACAAAACAATTTTGTGACTCCCAGAGTTGAATTCTGGAGGCCAAGTGCATGAATGATTACTGAGTCATGTCAGGAATGATTACTGGAAGGATCAGATGGTCAACGTTAAGTGGTGAGTGGCTATATATTTCAGCAGGGAGTCCAGATACACATCATTGCACTTTTTCAATATCTGAAATGTGGTCATTCACAGCAACTGTGGGTAGTCTCACTTTTAAAATAACTCCCTCTATGGGAAACAGAAAGATTTCTCCCAAGTTGTCTCCCCTAAATATATGTCAAACTTAGCTGCTTGCTACATGTGGCAAATGACTATACACATGGAGGTCAACAGAAGTAGGTTATCAGCCATCCAGAGCAAGCAGTCACCACCATTTATCCCACAACAAGTAGGACCCACTCCTTTCTGATAAGGATAGTAGTTGACCGTTTCCTTGTAGGAGACCCCAGAGAGGTCAAGCCCACTGAAGGGTGGCTAAGGTTAGGCCACCATCATGAATCTAGGGTCCGCCCATCTTGTCACACATATGCCTCTAGATCCTCCCCTTCCTATCATGTGTACAGCCCTAGTTCATTCCCTTCCTGCTACGCCTATGCCCATTGTATATCCCCCTCCTATTGCTTGTATGCCTGTTGTACTGCCCCTTCCTGTGACATGTGTGGTTGCCTGTAATCATGCCCCTTAGTAGATATAAGCCTTGGTTATCAATAAAGTTGGGCCGGCCAGAGGTGGTCCCCCACCTCACCTCCGGCCTTTTTAGCCCACGATGTGTATGGATCTGACTGGTAAGATCATGGCCATCCAGGAGGTGAGCATGCTATTATAAAATGTGTTTGACTTCTTTATTTTACTCTCTCATATTTCTCTCATGCTGTATGACTTTATTATAATCTTTATGTATCTTAACTGTACAATTGCGCTTACCGAACTCATGATCAGTTGATATTTTTCTGTGTGGGAATCTGCTCTAGGTTAGGGATTATAGTGGATAGCAGTTAGCACCACATTTCCATGATATGCCACTGTCATATGAAACTGATTTCTGACTTGCCTCCCAATCTCTGTAACCCAGTCATGATGCTGGAATATTTCCCCCAAAATAGGGCATTTTAATACCTGTATCATTTGGCCTATTAGTTCCCAGTAATTGTCATCTTGATCATCCTTCTTGAAGTTCTTCTACTACATGGACTGCCAAATCACTGGATTTCAGATTGTGGCATTTACTATGATTACTGTGATTATTATTATCATATTGTGAGAGGTTCCAACCTAAGCCCCAAATGAGTGTAGGGTTTCAATGTCTAGGCATGGTTGGAGGTAAAGTGGAACAGACTCTAATGTCAGAAGTGAATAAATATGAAGGAACAGACAACAACGGTACTCCTGTTGTGTTGCCTGCATTGGAATTCCTGGGACCAGGGAGCCTAGTGACTGGTGATCACAGGGAAGCGGGGCCGCGAGGAAGGAACATGCAGGGGACTCTTGGTAGCTGAGTCCCATGACACCCCTGGAACTCTCATGAGTAATTAAGTGGTGTAGATTATATAGGGAACTAAAGTTTCTCTATTTGTTGTTAAATTAGTTAAAATAGTAAGATACTTAGTGTTATGCTGCTTGTGGATTTTACTCTTACTCTATTACAACTCAATGTAAGGAAGACAAAACTCCTCACAACTGGACCAACGTCATGATAAATGAAGAAAAGGTTGACATTGTCAAGGATTTTCTCTTGGATCTACATTCAGTGCTTGTGGAAGCAGCAGTCCAAAAACAAAAGATATATTGCATTAGGTTAATCTGCTGCAGATTTAGACTTGTATACTTTCCATTCAACAATGCCAATGGCCAAATGCTATGCATTAGTCAGAAGCTAGAGAAACAATTCCACTATGACATGCCGTTGCAACAATGTAACTAAATCACTTTCAGTGACATGACAATGGGCTTACACCCACCATATTTCTCCAAACAACAACCTATCACTAAGAACAGTGTTCATCCCAACTACTCCCTCGCATTCTCAGAATCAGGACTTCTCCACCAGCTTGCCAGAACCTTTGAAAATCAAGGTTCCCAAGGACCCCTGAGTGAGAGATGACACCTCCAGGGAAATGTATTAACACCTGTACATTTCAGAGGCTTTACATCTGCTGTTTAGTACCCTTCCAAATCATGGGGGTCATTAGCCACATGGCCTTCTGACATTCGTTCAAGGACTATGTGTAAACCCAAGGAGATTTAAATGGAAAGAGCCAACCTTTTCCTCCTTTTATGTTTTTTATCTAATTTTATTTTGTATTAATATATCTATTTATTTACTTAAACCGTTGTATTGGGATACAGTCCAAACATAATATAATTCAGTATTTCATTTATATCAAGTAGTGTTGTTCAATCATGACCACAATTAGTTTTAAAACATTTTTTCCTTCTTTCTTCCATAATAATAACTCCTTATTATTAGCTCCTCATTTACCCCCAACTTTCCCTCAATCAAGGAATTCTCAATCCAATTACTGTCTCTTTCTATTCACTCATCCTGGATTTCAAACACCGAAAAACATTTAGAAATATACAAAACAATGAGTCAAAAAGGCTATGAACAATAACAAAATAAGACAGGGAAATTCCAGGTGGAAAGAAAGCAGAAAATATTAGAAACTAGAACAACCTTAAAATATGTCAAAAGGGAGATCAAGTGATGGGTACTGGATTTTAACCTAGTTACATCTGTCCCAATCCACTTTCCAGTGCACTTTGTGTGATAGGAAGGCCATTCACATCCCTGGCCTGTCTTCAGGGGAGTTCACCAGAGGCTTTATCCACATGTATTTCCCCTTCACATTTTTTTTTCAAGTGCTAGTACTTTGAGATGTGTTAAAAAGAGGATCAAATCAGATGTCAAACATTAACCATTCATATCAAATATCCACCTCTTACCCTTTATCATACTTCCTTTTTGCATTATTTCTCTTATTCTTCTCACTGCTGGGAGTCTTTAAAGAAATAGATAATTCTGGGATTTTTTTTCTTTACTTCCAATTTATTCTTTCCAACTTTATTCACCAATCAACTGTAAATACACTTCCAAAATCACAACCCCACTGAAATTTTCTCCCCAATGCATTTCTAAAGTTAGAGAACTCTTTTTAGTCTCAAATTTACTTGACCTTTTTCTGTACAGTATTTTGTGATGTTATTTCCTTCTATATTCATAAAATTCTCTTAATTTTTGGCTTTTATAATATTATCATCTCTTTGTTTTCATCTACGTCTAGTCTTCCACCTCAGTATCCTTTGCTGGGTTCCATTTCCTCTTGCACTTATCTCTTGGCCCTATCCTTAAAACAAAACAACCAAAATCTTCAATATACTTGTGTTAGTCCAGGTAGACAAGAGAAACAAATCTAGAGACACTCATATGTGTGTAATAGAGAACTTTATAACAAAGAGTAATTGCATATTAAGAAAACATCCCAGCCCAGTCCAGATCAAGTCCATAAGTCCGATATTCACCCATAGGTCTGATAGCAATCTATAAATTCCTCTTCAGACTCATGAAACACATGCAATGATGCTGAATGCAGGAAGATCATAGGCCAGTAGGTGGAAAGTCCTGTGGATCCAGTGGTGGTAGAAGCATCTCAGCGCTGGCGTGGATCTCCATGTGGTTCCTCCAGCTCCAGGGCTCTAGCATAGCTCCATGTTTCTTGTCATCAAGAATGCCAAGCAGACAGAGAAAGTATCTGGCCTCCAGTGAGCTATTTATCTGTGGTGCCTCCAAATGAGGTCATCAAGCTATGACCTGATTGACAGACTAGACTCTACCCCTTCACAAGTTGACAGAAGACTATGTAACTGCCACAGACCACCTCTTGTCAACTTGACACTTTTACACAACTCTTTAGCCATCCATAATTTGTAACAAAACAATAATAAAATCAAACTAAGATGCATACAATTAAAAATGTGCCACATTCATTTAAACATTCTATAATTGAACAGAACAAAGATATTCTATACTTCTGTAAACACCTACAACATAATTCTATGAACATATTCCCCCAACTATGAAAGTTTGTAAGCCAGCCACTTCATGCCTTTATCTGCTCAATGTTGAGTATCAAACCAGTTCTCTGAGGAGACAATCCTAATCTTTGATGAGAAGAATTTTCATTCTAGTTGGAACCTTGTGAAGTCTGCATCCATAAGCTAAGTCAAATCAGGACAGGCCATCCATTAAGTAAGCAGCAATATGCACCAGTTCACAGGCTCAAAAATCTTCTCTTCATCTGGTTGGGTTCTGGTCAACTCAATGTGGGCTTCCTCACTTAGCCTCACCAGGGTGACAATTGGCTGCCATGCCTTTAGACCAGGAGCCCCATCACAAATTCTCAACAACCCTAGCCCCTTTGTGCTAGGTCATGAACTTCAGACCAGTCAGCCCACTCTCGTCTTCTCCTCTATTCCCTGCGAACCAGGTCCACAGGTATCAGTGGCCAGACTCATCCTATCCTGTCTCTTTATTGCTGTTTCATTTCCACTCAACAAGTGGATCCAGGTGGTCACCTAGCAAGCATTTCAGCCTGCCTACAGACTCCATTTAATGTTCAGTCCTAAAGAGGAGTTTCTTCATGGCTCAAAGATATTTTCCAGCTTCTGACACAAACCATGAGTTCAAAATTCAAAAATCCAAAGGGTTCTTTTTCCCCCCTTCAATCTGTCAATCTTCCCCTAGACAAGTCTCTTCATCCTGCACTCAAGACACTGGGTGGACAATTCTACCTTACAAATCCGGTTAGACCAGAGGATGTACACTGGTACAGATAGGAACTGGAAACACAGGGAATCCAGGACAGATGATCCCTTCAGGACCAGTGGTGAGAGTGGCAATACCAGGAGGTGGGGTAGAAAGCGGGAACCAATTACAAGGATCTGTATATAACCTCCTCCCCGGGGGACAGACAGCAGAAAGGGGGACAGACAACAGAAAAGTGGGTGCAGGGAGATGTTGGAAAGTGTAAGATATGACAAAATAATAGTAATTTCTAAATTATCTAGGGTTCATGAAGGAGGGGGGAAAAGGAGGGAGGGGGAAAAGGAGGAGCTGTTACCAAGGGTTCAAGTAGAAAGCAAATGTCTTGAGAATGATGATGGCAATAAATGTACAAATGTGCTTGACACAAAGGATGTATGTATGGATTGTGGTAAGAGTTGTATGAGCCCCCAATAAAATGACTGGAAAAAAGAAAGACACTGGCTTATCTTTACAGAGCCTTCTTTGCAGGCATGTCTTAACCCATTTAAATGCCAATTTAAATGTCTTAAGGCAAGTGGGATTACAGGCTCTCTATTTTTACTTCCCAATAAGCATTTCTATCAATCATTATATCAATAACAATAGGCAAAAGAAAACAGTATAAACCAAGTAAAGCCAGATCCTAAATTAAATTCTTAAAACAATGAAGTTCTATCCTTATCTATTTTATCTTAATCCTTATCTGAACTATTCCACTGATATGAAGTCTGGTTAGGCCTCTGACTGAATCAAGCCAGGCCCAGGCATTCTGTCAGCCATTTTCACTAAGCAGCTTGGTCTCTGAGAAATTCAAACATCAATTTCTATCCCTGAGCTCAAAATACATATTAACAACATTCATTTTTGCCATTTCAAACAGGAATAACCAAAAGCAACAACCAAAGAAAATGGTCTAAAGTTTAACTTCCCATATTCTTTCCAGAAAACCACCCAGTAAACTGCATGGACATATCTGACCTCTGGCTAGCCAAAGAATAAAAACCACCATGAGGCAGGGGTCAAAAAAGCATCCACTCTACATCTTCATGATTTGTTTCTTTAGTATCTGACTCCCAGTACCATAATGTGTTAGTCTGGGTAGACTAGAGAAACAAATCTAGAGACACTCATATGTGTGTAATAAAGAACTTTATATCAAAGAGTAACTGTATATTAAGAAAACATCCAAGCCCAGTCCAGATCAAGTCCATAAATCTGATATTCACCCATATGTTTGATACCAGTCTATAAATTCTTCTTCAGACTCATGAAACACATGCAATGATGCCGAATGCAAGAAGATCATAGGCCAGTGGGTGGAAAGTCTTGTGGATTCAGTGGTAGTAGAAGCATCTCAGCGCTGGCATGGGTCTCCATGTGGCTCCTCCAGTTCCAGAGCTCTAGCATAGTTCCATGTGTCTTGTCATCAAGAGGGCCAAGCAGACAGTGTGTATCTGGCCTCCAGTGAGCTATTTATCTGTGCCGCCTCCAAATGAGGTCATCAAGTTGCGACCTGATTGACAGGCTAGACTCCATCCCTTCAAGTTGATAGGAGGTTATGTAACTGCCACAATACATTTACATCTCAAACCTCTATCTACAACCTAAGGAACTACAAAGCCCATATTTTCAAGTTAGTGTCCAGGATATGAGAAACCAAGAATGTAACATACACAATATTCTCTTAATACTAGGAAACATATTTCTGCTCCAAAAGATACAGCTATAACAAGAGCTGGTTGAAGAAGTGGTTTTAAGTCAGATTTTAAAAAGTAGAAACAAATAATACATTCTGAATCTTGTTTTTCAGTTGATGCATAAGATTTAATTCCCAACTCCACCCCTATTTAACTGCTATGTTAATTATAAAAAAGCATTAACAATTGCTAAGGATTATTACATATGATGTATCAAAGCACATGAAGTAATAAGCACAGCATTTCATCTTTAGTTAGTATGTAACTTATGGGGATTATTGTTCTACATCTCCATCCTCAGATTTTAAATTAGCCTTTGCATATTGACATTATCCTTTTTCTCTGCTACACAGTCCCTAATTTTCAATAAATTGTAACTACTATGAATAAATACTGAAAGTTTCTTACCTTTTTCCATTACACTCTATGACTGGTATTGAGTAATGTTCTTTGTATCCTGAGTCTTCTGCAAAAGTATTAGCAGCACAATCCTGTATTTTTCCTAAATTATTCTAAAATATGAGTTATGTTACAAAGACCATCTTTAAGCAAACTTACAATACTAAGGCTTCCTTTAGATGAAACTTTATACATGCAAATGACAATATTTTAATATAGTATTCCACAAGACCCTGATAGTTAGTATCAGCAAGCAAGTAATTCTTACTTCTGGAAAGAGGAAAAAAATTAAAGAAAGATAAATAATATAGAGAGGGTAGAAAAGCAATGACAATAGCAATATCTAATGTTAATACCAAATTTCAAATGAAGACTACTGTTCCCAGGCTCTAGAATCCTATGAGGTAAATAGAAGAACTTAGGTAGTGAGTGATCAGGGAATTCTGCACCACAATAAACTAGTCTTGGGTACATATGAAGTCTGTAAATTCTGTGAGGATAGTGACTTGAGTTATCTTGTTATTTTAACTCTGGTTTCAAACACAATACCTAATATATAGTTACACTAACACTGTGTGTTAAATAATAATAAACAAATACACTTTTGAGTTCTAGGTATAATTATTTGAAGGGCTGCCTAGTGCTGATACCAACAGAGATTCTAATAGAACAAGACTTGTGAAACAACAAAAATAATTAATTAATTACTATCATTGAAACCTGAAACTCTTCCAAAGCTTCTTCAATTGAGGGAGTGCTGATGTCAAATTCAATTCCTCCATGGACATGAAAATATTGTTTCTCTCTGTAGTGGAAATTCTGGCATTTAAAATCTTTTCCATACATAAATGGAGGCAATTCTCGCTCTGTTTTGACCTTGTCATCTCCAAAAATAAAAACAATTTTTAGAATTTTAAAAGTGAACATCATGTAAACAATTATATTTTAGAGATCCAAATTCTCATTCATGTAAACACTTTTAAAATTCCACTTGTTGATATGAACATTTGTTAATTTGTACTAAATGTACACAAATGTTTGAAGCATTAAAATACATTTAAGATGTACATAGTTACAAAGAATGATATAACACCCTAATCTTACTATGCAGAGTGAATTGTTAATATTTGGTCATATTTGATTTAAGCAATTTAAGTAAAACAACATTATACGTTGGCCAAGTAGTTGTATTCCAAATTTCTGGCATAGACGAGTAAGTGTTTTATTAGCTTGTTCAAACATTTCCATTGTTATTCCATCAATTCCCAGAGTCTTGTTTTTGACTCATGCATTCAGTGCTGCTGGAACTACTTAAAAGATGTACAAAGTTCCAAAAAATGATATACTATCCTAAGGCCTTTGCAGTTCCAGGTACCTCCTCACATAGGACAAATAACGTTACAATTCCATTTTTAAATAGTTCACATATATGAGTAGTTGTCACTGTCTGAATTATCACTATCCTGGATTATCACTAATACTGGATTATCTGCAGTCATTTTCTGCTAAAGGCTTGCCATCTACATAGAAAATCCACAATAATAAACCTATATGCTTGGATGCTATTGAAAATGTTTAAATTGCATGCTAATCTGAAAGGAATAGTTTACCTGGCAGTGCTATTGACTAAACATCACTAGTATAGTGGTTAGCATTGAGTGACGATCCTCCTGGTGAGCAGTTCAAAACCACAAGCAGCTCCTCTGGAGAAAGAGTGGGCTTTCTACTCCTGTAAACAGGTATAGTCTTGGAAACCCCCAGCGGTCACTCTGAGTCAGCATTGACTAGATGGAAGTGAGTTTGGTTTTGAGTGTAATTATGAAGTCAAAGAGATGAACAGAAAATTTCAAAGGGCAGTGCAAGAAGGCAAAATACAATATTATAATGAAATATGCAAAGACCTAGAATTAGAAAACCAAAAAGCACATACTCAACATATCTTAAATCAAAAGAACTCAAGAAAAAAAAATACAAGCCTCGAGTTGCAATCAAAAGATTCTACGGGAAAAAATACTGAATGATGCAGAAAGCACCCAAAGAAGATTGAAAGAATAGAGTCACTGTACCAAAAAGAATTAGTTGACATTCAACCATTTCAGGAGGTCGCATATGAGCAAAAATTGATGGTACTGAAGGAGGAAGTTCAAGCTGCACTGGATGCATGAGTCAAAGACTTAAGGAATTGATGGGATACCAATTGAAATGTTTGAACAAGCTGATAAAACACTACTCGTTTATGCCAGGAAATTTGGAATACAACTACTTGACCAATTGGTTGGAAGAGATCCACATTTGTACCCATTCCAAAGGTGACCCAACAAATGCTCAAACTATAGAACAATATCACTGTTATCACATTCAAGTAAAATTTTGCTGAAGATATCCAACAATGGTTGCAGTAGAACATTGCCAGAGGTTCAGGTTAGATTCAGAAAGGGTCTTAGAACAAGGACTATTATTGCTGATGTCAGATTGACCTTGGTTCAAATCAAAGAATACCAGAAAGATGTTTATTTGTGTTTTATTGACTATGCCAAGGAATTCAACCAGGTGGCGCATAACAAACCATGGATAGCTTTGAGGAGAATGGGAATTCCAGGACACTTGATTGTGCTTATGAGGACCTCGTACATTGATCAAGAGGCAGTTGTGTGAAAGGGAATACTGCATGGTTTAAAATCAGGGAAGGTGCATCAAGGTTGAATCCTCTCTTCATACTTATTCAGTCTGTATGCTGAGCAAATTGTCAGCTAAACTGGATAATATGAAGAAGGGTGCAGCGTCAGGATTAGAGGAAGGCTTATTAGCAACCTGTGATATGTACCTGACAACCCTGCTTGCTGAAAGTGAGGAACACTGGGAGCACTTGCTGATTAAGATCAAGCCTTCAGTATGGATTAGGATTCAGTGTAAAGAAGATCAAAATCCTCACAACTTGACTTATAGGTAACATCATGATAAATGGATATAAGATAGAAATGGTCAAGAATTTTATCTTGCTTGAATCCACAATCAATGCTTGTGGAAATAGCAGGCAAAAGACACATTGCATTAGGTAAATCTGCTGCACAAGACCTCTTCATTGAAAAGCAAGCATGTTACTTCAAGCACTAAGGTGCACCTTCCCCAAGTCATGATACTTTCCATTGCTTCATATGCATGTGAAAGTTGAACATTGCGTAAGGAAGAGAGAAAAATAATTGATGCATTCGAACTGTGGTGCTGAAGAATATTGAAAGTACCATGGACTGCTAAATGGACTGACCTATCTTGGAAGAAGTATGGCCAGAGTACTTTTTAGAAGCAAGGATGGGGTGACTTCATCTTACATACTTGCGGCATGATGTCAGCAGCGACCAGGGCCTGGATAAGGAAATCATGTTTGGTAAAGTGGAGCGGCAGTGAAAAAAGAGGAAGGCCCTGCAGTTATGAGCTCAGGCATAGGAACCATTGTGAGGATGGTGCAGAACCAGGCAGTGTTTTGTTCTGTTGTGTAGTGTTGCTATGGGTCAGACAGACCCGATGGTACCTAACACCAGCATTATTATCATCTTTCCATGTTAAATACTTCTAACAAGAAGGACAATTTTTGTGTAATAATTAGGCAAGCCTACATTAGGGACCTCTAGTGGTGTAGCGGTTATGTGTTTGGGCTTTGATCCACAAGGTCATGGTTTGGTAACACCAGCGGCCCTATGGGGGAAGGATGGTGTTTTCTACTCCCATAAATAGTTACAGTCTCAAACACTCAAGGGGCAGTTCTATCCTGTCATTGACTCGAGGCAGCGAGTGATTGTAACACTGGAAGGATACCATACAGAAAGACACTACAAGGTCATTAAAAAGATAAAGACAGGAGAGAATAAAATGGATGTCAGAACACATTTATACTTGCAATAGAAGCTGAAGCAAAAGAAGAAAGGAATAAGATTAAGAGATGAACTAAGTAAAAAGCTGAACTGACAGTCCTGGGGTCAATTCTGACTCATAGCGACCCAACAGAACAGGCTTTACCTGCCCGTTTGAGTTTCTGAGACTCTAACTGTTAACGGGAGTAGAAAGCCCTGCTTTCCTCCTGCAGAGCTGGCTGGTGGTTAACAGCCCAACCCATGATTTCAAAGGGCAGCTTGAGAAGGCAAAGTAAAGTATTATAATAAAATATGCAAAGACCTAGAGTTAGGAAACCAAAGGTAAAGAATATGCTCGGTATATGTCAATCTGAAAGAAATGAAGAAAAAAGTTTAAGCTTCAAATTGCAGTGTTGAAAGATTCAATGGGGAACTACTGAGCAATGTAGGAAGCAGGAAAAGATAGAGGAGACACAGTCACTTTGACAACAACAAAAATAGATCGATGTTGAACCATCTAAGGAGGCAGCAAATGTTCGAGAATTAGTGGTACTGAAGGAAGATGTTCAAGCTGCACTGAGAGGTTGGGAGAAAACAAGGTTCAAAGAACTGATAGAATTGCAAGGGAAATGATGTCAGGTGACTCTTGGATGAAACAGAGAACACCATAAACAGGTGTGTGTTTCATTGGCGCTGCAAAGGGACCCACATCATAACGGACTAGGGATAACATTGAAACACTTCATTCCTCTCAGGTGGAACCTGTAGATAGGCCAAGAAGTAGTCATTTGGACAGAACGAGGGAAACATGGTCTACAGTCAGGAAAAGTTCGTGCCAGGACTGTATCCTTTGACCACATTTATTCTGTCTGCATGACGAACACATGTCAAAGGAGCGGGACTCTGTGAAGACGACTGCAGCAATGGGTTTGAATGAAGACTCACGGAGAACCCGTGATATGCACGTTATGCAACCCCGCTGGCTGAAAACTAAGATGATCTGAAACACTGATGAAGATCTAAGACTCCAGCCTTCAATCTGGATTACATCTCAATATAAAGAAAATAACAATCCTCACAACTAGGCCAAGGAGCATCATGATGATAAATGGAGAAAAGATCGAAACTGTCAAGGA